AAAATGGCCACCGTTGGCACGGGGGTGTTACATTCAATTGAAATTAAGTTATCATGATAGACATATGTAATGAAAAAGCTTGTTGCCTGGCTGTCATTATGATGAGCTGGCTTCAATGCTTTGTAAATCACTGACTTATGAGTAAAGACATACAGTATATCTGCTCTTTTACTGACTTCCAATGGCTGCATGTTTGTAATAAATGTGTGACTAGAAGTATTAAAGCAAGTCTAGAATTTTCAGGTGACATTCAGCAATGATAGCTCCAATTGTTTAGTTCTAACAGGTGTGTGCTTTAAACTGTGCACCAACAGCAATATTTGCCAAAGTGGTTATTTTATGCTATGAATCACTAAAATACATTGTGAGCAGTTCTACAAGTTACCATCTGTTGACAGATTTCATATATACTTGCCATTATGTATTAGATTTCAAAGTTTCCCAAATTTGCCCAAAATTATATTCTTTTTTTCTTTCAAACTTATACATGGAAAAAAACACAAAAATGTTTATTCCTCCAATTGTTCAAGTTCCCATCCAAAAATGTATTAGTAGATCAAAAGTTTCTTCTTAAACTAGCCATTGTGTGTGCGTGTACATGGATAATGCTGGGGGGGACTTAAGAGTGTGGTAGAGATCCCTTGTGTAGTAGGGATTGATCTGAACAGTTCTGTGTCCTCTGTATAGAGCTGCATTACATGTTACCAATATATAAATGTATCCTAGTAATTTAGCTTGGTTTTTGGAATTAGGAATTTGGTGCCCATTTTAGAATCCCCTTTTTCCATCTAAAAATAGATTTTCTGTGAGTTTTATCTACAAGGGAGCATTACAAATCCTCAAGGCTATTTTAAACCATCTAATGTAAGATGAAGGCTGACAGTTTCCTTGGGAGATGGTAATCGCTTCTTGTGCCTACATGGGTAACCACAAAAATCTTGTGTTTAAGCCCAGAAGGACAAATTTGTCTGGATTTTAACAGAAATATTCCCCAACAGCTCCTAAAAAGTCTGTAAGCTAACATACCTTGACCACAAAGTTCACCTTAAGGTTCCTGTGTGGAAAGTCTGAGTCCAACGTGGGTGTGAAGTGGGGACAGAATGAAAGATGTGATTGATGAAGGGTTTGATGAAAGAAATAACGTATGTTTATTTTAATGTGCAACTGCTGCATAGAGATCAAATTTGGATATAGTTGCGTTCATGAACACCTGTCACCTACACGTTTTTTTATTCTGGATCACCCCACTGGGCCTGGCCTGGTACACATGACTTTTGCCATAAGACCTGGCATGTCTGTTAGCTGGTTGCATTGAAGTGTGTCAGAACCTTTTTTTATTTTAGTTGTGGAAGGGAAGAACCTCTGTTTTTAATTGCTGCCCCCAGGGCCCCACCTAGGTCATTTCTCTTTCTATTTGTCCTGTTGATCATTGTTATATTCTTTAAGAAGAAAGCATGATATAGAGTAGAGTCAGCCTGTTTCTTTCTATGGAAAGTAGTTGCTCTGAAATACAGTTTGGAATTGTTGTGTACATTGGAAATTGCATTTCATCCCTTTTCTCACATAGAGGTATTCTGAGGGGTGGGCTAGGCAACTCCGCAGCGTGGTGCCGCTGTCCTGTGTCTCTTCGAACCTTGGTTTATGCTTGGGTGTTGTTTAGGGATTATGATTATTATTTTCCATGACCTTACGTTCAGTTTTCGTACCTCTATACTTGCAATGCAATTGGGAGAGTCTAATGTTTTTGTGCCTTGTTACTTGTTCTTATTTCGAAAACTCAATAACATTTATAATATTTAACAGAAAATTGCATTGCACCCAATCCAGAATGTCAGAATCCCACATATCAGCTGCAACAAGCATAGCCAAATGTTTCAAAGATCGGACCAATCTCTGTTTGAGCTTAACTTAAGTCATGACTGTATATCTTGACCGCTGACAAACAAGCAGCTCCTCAAAGCCTCTCATTCACAAACTTGGCATAATTCTTTTCTCAGCCCAAACTTTTGGGATAGAATAAGTTAAGTATACCTTGGTGACACGCAAATTGAGTTATTCGCTTCAGTGTGAAAATTCTTAAATATCATGTAGGTATAGGCAGTTCATTTTTCTGGAAGATCGGGAATTATTATACACTTTAAACAATTGTTGGTAGAGGATGAGGTCATTAAAATCCAGAGGGTCGAATATATCCACTTCAGTAATCATGGTATATCGATGTGATGCCTTCCAGGCTAATGCATTGCTTATGCATTGACGCTAAGCTCCGCCTAACAGCTAACCACATGTATGTGAATCATATTACCTGCAAAAAGAATTGTGATTATGTTTAGCCACTTTTATGATTTGTACATCACAAAGGCATGGATAACCAGAAGGGTGACCCCACTTTCTGTAATAATGTAAGAAATACAGCAACGTCACCTCTCTGTCCCCAGCCTGCTGACTGGACAACAAAGGTGTAGCAGTGCAGTGCTGATGTCATCTATGGGCTTTCTTTAATTTCTGCAACATGTTTGCAATGTTAAATAGAGATTGGCTCAGAATGTTGACCTCCTCTTGCCTGGTGTTTTGTGACACATAGCTGGCTATTTAATTGTGAGGATTGGGTGCAGAGGCTTCCTTGCCGAATAATGTGTATATATTGAGAGAGTAGATAGGTTAGTGTTAGGGCTTAATTTAGGGATCAGGTTAGTGTTGGGCTCAGGACTTAGGGGGAGTTAAAATGTGGAGTGAATCTGTGCCCAGAGTATGCACGCTAAACTATTTACACTTTAAAACAAACCATAATTTACCTCTGTAGCTATAGGCATTGTAGATAAATTATTCTTCAAAGTTCAAAACAGAGGCACAGAAATTTTTTAGGCCCCTGTCACACGGGCGGTCCGATTGGGTCCTCCTGTCAGTTTTTCAGGCGGACCCAATCGGATGCCCAATGAAAGTCTATGTGCAGCTGGGTCTAAACAGTTTACACTCGTTATTCCCAACTACCGCCAGGTCTAGAAAAACAAACAGATCAGAGATCCGTTTCATGGGACCTGATTGTTTCCAGATCTGGGGTGATCTGATGTAAATGGACACATGTCCCTTATATATCCGACTAGTATGAATTTCCTCATAATTTTCATCAGCTGCATGATTTCAGTGACAAAAACTAAATTAAAAAAAAGTTAATAGGACTAAAACTATGATGAAAAAAATACATTGCAATTTTCTGTACTGGGGATTTAGTCAACAAAACTAAACAAAAAAAATTCAGATGACTAAAATACCACTAAAACGAAATACCGTTTTAGTGGTATTTTAGTTTTAGTTGTGTTTTAGTGGTATTTTAGTCATCTGAATTTTTTTTCGTTTAGTTTTGTTGACTAAATCTCCAGTAGAGAAAATTGCAATGTATTGTCTTGTCACCATAGTTTTAGCCCTATTAACTTTTTTTTAATTTAGTTTTTGTCACTAAAATCATGCAGCTGATGAAAATTATGAGGAAATTAATACTAGTCGGATATATAAGGGACATGAGTCCATTTACATCAGATCACCATCAGATACATCAGATTTTTATTTGACGAAAACTAAGAGGAAAGGTTTAAGTTGACTAAATTAACATTATATCCGACTCCTGATAGTCCAACATGGGGTCCGGCACTTTTAGTCCACTTCCATCGCAAGGAGGAGGAAAGAACTGGATGGACACAGATGTCACAGTGGTGACTTCTGATCCGTACTACTCCGATCAGGGCCAGCCTGTATGAAAGGGGCCTATTCCTTTCTATTGCATGAGAATCTTGGCATCCTGCCAGCCCTGTAATGTAAACAAACAGCAGTTGTTTCTAAGCTGCTAGACTAGGTTCACGCTTTCCTGTCGGGGCGTGTTGCGTCAGTGCATACACATTCATCAAGCAATAGTGTGAATCGAGCCCCTGAAACCTGACTTCAAAGTTTTTATTTTATTGTGATCTTTAACAATTAATTCCTTCACAGTACAAAAAGCTAGAGAGGTCAGAGATGGCTTGATTTACTGTTTGATTAGGAAATGTAAATACTCTAATTATCATAGTATGGCCACAGGTGCACTAAGTTTTGGAATAAGGGTAAGACATTATTTTAAGTTTAGGGTTCAGGTATGGGTTCAGCAGCAGGAAGCTTGTGTATTAGGGGGTGCTCTAGTTTTAGGAACCGTTTACAATATGGGAACAGAGAGGGAAGTTGCAGGATTTATACATGTTCATACAGGACAGGAATCTAATATATCAAATTGTTGTAAGCTAATATATCTAGAGATAAGAGATACTTTATTTTTGCTGTATTTGTACTGAAGCGTATTTGCCTGGTGTTTACCTTAAAGCATCCTTAGACTTAAAGGAGAACTATTGGGAGAGTAAAATATACTCTTCATAATAGTTTGAGCTGGGTTGTGACATTGCAGCAGTCACACGCTGGCTCTAACCCTCGAGAACTGAGCAATCGCAAACCGCTGATTGCTCAGCTAACGGATTCTCCATGCAGAGAGCAGTGACTGTCAGTTACCACCCCCGCAGGGATTCCCCTCTTTCCTCTCTGTTCCTCCAGAGCTTATTAGAGGGACAGATGGGAGGGGCGGGCACAGCTGTCTCTGGCTCTAGAGAGGCATAGCCAGCTGTCAATCAGGCAGCGGGGTGGATCCCGACAATATTGTTGGGACCCTTGCTGGCTGCAATGCGGCTCTGCGCTGTCAGCGTATAGTGGGCAGTAGCCTGGTTTTTGCTGAGTTTGAGTCACAGAAGTACACTAGTAAATGTACTCCTGTGACCAAAAAGTGAACTAAAACAAAACAAAAAATGAGCTTTAGTTCTCTTTTAATAGGTATGCTGTGGCTGGCATAGCTGTATAAAATAATTTGAATGAAATTGCTATGCTTTATATTCTCTTGTCACTGTTAAGTTTTACCTTGTGGGTAATAATTATTGTATAGCATATGGCGTGCTGCTGACACTGTTCTGTTCTGTGTTTGCTCATAGGAATCTACCTGTTAGATCTCATCTACGTGGACTCCGCATACCCGGCTTCTGGAAGCATCATGGAAAATGAGCAGCGCTCCAATCAGATGAACAATATACTGAGGATTATTGCCGACTTACAAGTCTCCTGTGGTTATGGTCAGTACTGCTCATCTCTTTCGATCACTTAATAAATCGTTCAGTGCAGTGGCAATGTTCCAACTGACTACCACTTTTCAAAAATATGGCTAAAGGTGACCATCCACAATATAATCCCATTCAGATCTACCAACAACTACCGTATGTAGTGTGAGGGCCTGCCAGACTGGATACCAGTTGAGTGGACGGCTTGGTTGTGCCTTAAAGAAGAACTCTGGGCGGAGTAAAAATTAACCCTTGCAGTGGGGCTGCCCCCGCATTGCAAGGGTTGAGTGCCCGTTTTGGTCTAGGGTCTAAAATAACAAAGATATACTCACCCAAACCTCGGCAGCTAGACTGGTCCCTGCAACCTTTTATATGCCTCCACTTCGGCGGTCTAAGGATCTGTGAGTGATCATGTCTAATACAGTGGGACATTCCATCGTTGGAGAGGGGGAGGGAGGCTGCGGAGACCGGTCTACCAGCCAGGCAGGACCGAGGTTCGAGTGAGTATATAAAAAAAAAAAACGAGCACTTAACCCATGAAAATGTCAAAACTGAAACGAAACCGAAATAAAAAACAAATGCCAGGCCGGAACCAAAAATGTTTTTTTATTTTAACTTTTTCAAAAAAAAATTAATATATATATAACTATAACCACAATCATGAATGAACAGGAGGTGGTGTAGATCACTTCCCATTCATTCATAATTGAGGATATAGTAAACATGCTATGTCCTCAATTATTAACAAACACTCAGCGAGTGGAGCTCAGCCTCCTGTGACAGCGCTGGCTGTCTCCGCCCACACTGCTCTCCTCTGATCTGTGACAGGAGGCTGAGCGGTGTGGGAGGAGAGATGCCAGCCGCTTACAGCGCTCTCCTCCCGCAACGCTCGGCCGCCTGTGACAGTGTCTCTCCTCCCGCTGGAACACAGAGCAGTGCCCAGCGGGGAGGAGAGAAAGCAGGGATGCACCACTGTATCGGCCAGAAAATGGCACTTTCGGCATTATGCCAAAAGTACAATTTTCGGCCGATATCTTTCGGCGGCCGATATATATTGGTGCATCCCTAATGTAAACAGAAAGGATTGTTTAGGCAGGTCCTTCCAAAGTTTTGTAAATCTATAAGAGATTGTACAGTTATTGTACAACCAGAATATATTTGAATTGTCATCGTAGTGTTTACCTGAGAGTATCTTTGCTGGAAAATAGACCAAGAGCTACAAGGCAGGAGCATTTACAATGCAATATCCTGATGTTTAATCCAACAACCATTTTGTAGCAAACCTTTTCTTATATGTAGTTCACTTTGGAGCCACAAAGGAATCTTGAACATTGTTCTTATTTGGTATGTGTGTATTCTGTGAATAAAAGGGTCTGCATTTTTCCTATCTGTGCAGAGAGCAGCTGAAATACCTCACCCTTATTTATCATCTGCTTAGGTAAATAAAGAGTGCGGATCGCAGGTGTCGCAGGCACAGCCTTAATGAAAGATGAATGCTCCGGAATGTGCGGAGATGGGGTCACAGCTTATGTTTACATATTCGTCTGGCAAGCCTGAGTTGTAAACTCAGGAGACGGAATCCTTTCTGCCGCTTCCGCCATGTTGTGCTGTTTGGTCAGGTGGAATAGCAGGAAAGGGGGCTTGACAAATGAACATTAGTTTAGCAGAGATGGAATGACACAGAGTGGTGTGTTTGAGCACTGATCTGTCTTGCATACATATTGCGTCAGGCGATTGGGTTTCTAAAAAATGATTCAACTTCTTGTGGCAGAAATGCGCTAAAGGGCATGTGGCCCTCACTGCTTCACTTTTGAGAGTCAGTGGAAGTTCACACTGTCAATTAAAGCCATTCTCTGTCCACTTTATATGTACAATCCCCTCGGCAATGCAGATATTTCCCTTATGCTTGGGCGCAGATGGACTGAATCACGCGCCAGCTTCTAATATCTCTCAGAGAGAAAGTTCCAACCTTTGCACCCACCCATAGAGTCTCACTTCTTTCGTGTTCAGAGATAACAGAGGTGACAGGGTATTGGAAATATAATCGAGGGAAAAGGGTACCTCATGCCATCCCTGGAATTCTTAACCCTCTTAGCATCGGTCTCATGATGAGTGCCCACCCAATGGTCGTGTGGTCTCTAATGCAAGTGCTTAGAAGCAATGTTTAGGGAGAGCTGGTTAGTCAGCAGCTCTGCAGAACACTGGTCCACCTTTTTATCAAAGACCAAATGATCAATTCCTTGGTGTGTTTTTTTTAAATCATCTAATATTACCTGGTGGGTAGATGGTATCCATCTGCTATAATGTCAAATAAATAAAATACCTATCAGGTAGAGTGAGTTACCCCTCATAATAGCAGGTGGAGCAGGGAACCCATGTGCAAGTGTGGTGGATTACCTGGCAGATATGGTAACCTGCTAATTCAACCTGCTAATCTCCTTCAAAAACGGAATATCTTTTAAACTGAAATGGGCCCTTCAGAACCCTTCTACATCTTATCTGAAACTGAAAACTACTGTATATGTGAACATTTTATATATATATATATACACATATATGTATAACATTACAATAAAGCAAATGTAATGCGTGTCCCGTAAGTGCATTAATTTACTAAAAAAAAATGTTTTCTACCTTCTTTCATTCTTTGTTTTTGCAGTCATGTGACTGCACAGCATTCTATATGTTCCTTATTCAGCCTAGCGAATAAGTCATGTTATATGTTATGTCAGCTTTACAGCTTTATAGGTGGGCCAGCTGTTTGTGACATGGCATACATTGGGGAATCACGTTCCCCTTGTGTGTACATTGCGGTTTTACAGCAAGGCTCTGGTAGGGAGCCGCTGTCAATCAACCTGGCAGTTCTGGGAGGGGGGCCTGTCTGGAAAACTGCCTACAGAACTACACACACACCATGGGTTGGCGCAGCGTCCTGTAACTCCATTAGGAAAACAGTGACACACAGACTGACCACACCAGCATGGATCTGCTTCTGGATTCTGTGTGGTCAGACTGAGAAAGCAAAGAAAGAAGGACTGGCAGGATCACCAGGTATTTGTGTTCACAAAAGAAAATACAAAAACAACAGTCTACATTTTCACACACCAACATAGTATGAAAGACAGTTATCTGCAAATAATAAATTTAGGGGTAACATATACTTTAAGCTTTGCTACGTGACAACTGTCGTGAAATGTTCCCTTTAAGCTTATCAGATGAAAAAAAATGTTGATGAACTGACCCCACATACCCATCTGGCCCCAGCTTGCCTAGATACTTGTCCAACATTGCATCCAAGGTTTCCTTCCAACAAGCAGAACATTTTCCACATGAGAAAGCTTCACTTTGCTTCATGGGATTATATTTTCACGCTTCATCCTGATCCAGTTTTGAGCAATGTTTTTTTTTCTAATTAACACGACTGTTGTTTTCATTTAAGTGTCACATTTTATGAATGAAAATGATATTTTGTCACTCTAGCTGGCAAAACCCCTGTTTTCTAGTATCACGCGATCTCCCGCCTCTTAAATGTTACATTTGGAGGCGACGACAGGAAAGGGTTCCAATTCCTAGTAGGTACTGCACAGTCCAAGAATAATAGGGAAGCTATCCAAAGCAACCATAAAATTGATGATTTTCCCCTTGAAATTCCTGTCAATGAAGAACAGTCAGAACAAGTGGAGTGTGCCGAGGAGACCTTGTTAGAGAGTGAAGAATACACTTCTAATAAGCCTATACATTGTTCCTCAATCACATGCTCTGTACTATTAAACGGGTAATAGCAGCATACAGAGCTGTATACTCAGTGAGTGACAGGATCCGTCTAGTGTTCTGCTATCAGAAACTATAATGGTTGGGGTCAGTTTTATTTCCTTTTTTTTTAATTATTAATGTATGATTTTATACTGACAATACATGTACATATGTGTGTGTGTGTGCTCCAGGCTGTGTGTGTATAGTGGATATAAAACGTCTACACACCCCTGTAAACATGCTAGAATTTTGAGCTGTAAAAAAATCAGATCAAGATAAATCTCTTCAGATTTTTTCCACCTTTTAATGGGACCTATAATCTGTACAATTCATTTAAAAAACAAAGTGAAATTGTTTAGTGGGGAAAAAAATTATGTGGCTGCATAAATGTAATTAGGGATGTGGCTGTGTTCAGAATTAACCAATCACATTCAAACTGATGTTAAATAATAGACAGTACACACCTGTCATCAATTAAAGTAACTCTAATTAAACCCATAACTGATCAACTGTTCTAGTAGGATTTTTAATTTTTTTTGACATTTTGCAAAACAAGTGGTGAAGCTAGACATTCCGTTAAACCGCCCCACTTATTCTCCGGTGCTGCTTTGTTAATTACAGAGCCGCTCCTGGCCTCACTTCTAATTTCCTGGCACTGCCCATTCCAATCTGTCATGGAGAAGAGACGTGGATAAAGTGATTTTAAGTCTCCATGGTGGATCAGGAGGGGCGCCGCCGCACCGAAAGAAGAGAGCACAGAAGCGCTTCTAAAGACACTGATCCTCCACAGAGCTCCATCACGCAGCAAAACATTATACAGCAATGCATCATAACAACAAGCTATAGAGGACTACAAATCCCAGCAATACATTATACAGCAATGCAGCATACCACCAGCTATAGTGGACTACAAATCCCAGCAATACATTATACAGCAATGCAGAATACCATCAGATATAGAGAACTAAAAATCCCAGCAATACATTATACAGCAATGCAGAATAATATGAAGCTACATACATTGTTTTGCTCCAGGCTGGCAGCCTGATGTCTCCAGGGTCTCAGGAGGGCTGTGTGGGGTCTCAGAAAGGCTGTGGGGGGTCTTGGGGGGCTCAAGAGGGCTGTGTGGGTTCTTTGGTGGGCTATGCGGGGGTCTCAACAGGGGTTCGGAGGGTCTTGGGGGCGGATGCGGGTGGCAGGGTCCCCCAGGATGCATGAGATGTGAGGCCACTGTTGTAAACAGGCGCTACAGCTCACAGAAAGGCTGCTCGTGCGGGACCTCAGGAGGCTGCATCTGCTTAAAAATTTTAAGTGTCAGCGTTTAGTGCGCAGTACTCATGAAAATGCCTGGTGTCAGTCCATCCCTAGTCGGTTGCTCACCCTGCCAGTGGCACCCCTCCTAATGCTCATGCACCCCCCCCCTCCCCCATGCAATACAATAATTATTATTCTAACCATCATTTATTTAACCTTGACAGACCATCTTGTGACACTACCACACGTTCAGAAGTATCTGAAGTCCGTCCGGTACATAGAAGAGCTGCAAAAGTTTGTGGAAGATGACAATTATAAGTAAGTTTACTGGTCATTATTAGCTCGTTATGTTCATCTGGTCTTTACCTAATTCTTTCTGCTATTTTCATCTAGTTTTTATCTTGATTCCGTCTGCTATTTTCATCTAGTTTTTTTTTTTACCTGAATCTTTTTGAAGGCACATTCACACCTATGCATTTTTAAACACATTATATAAATATAGAGTACATAATGGGTTATCTACTTTCTCATCTATATAGGTTAGTGTGGTGCGGTCTGGTGCTAACAGTTTTTGAAGTTCATCATGACACTTGTTACATAGAAATGAATGGAGAGAAGTATAAAATGCCTAAAAGCTGCATAATCTAAACAAAATAGTGGCAGATAATGACACATATAAATTGCATTACAACTTATGAGTACATTGCATCGCATACAAAATGTAAAATGTGCATATAAAAAAGGTGATAAAAAACATATCTTTTTAACAGCATAGGTGGGAGGTACCCTTACGTTTGCATCCTTGTTTAAAATGGAGGAAACTGTTAAGTGGACTGTTATTACTGATTTTTTTTTATGGCTTAGAACAGTGATGGCAAATGTTTTTGAGCCCGAGTGCCAAACTGCAACACAAAATCAATGTATTTATTCCAAAGTGCCAACACTTAAAATAAGTTTTGTATTGTGTTTTAGTTTGGGCACTGGTGTTTAAAAAAAAGTTCAGCATCACTGCTGAAAATTTTTTCTTTATTATTTTTTTACTTTTGTATCACTTTTTTTTTTACTTTTTAAAATTGTTTTTTTATCTTATTATATTTTACTTAATTTTTTATCATTTTTATTGATTTTATATATTTGTTTACACTTTAAATTTTTTTAATTATAATTTTTTTTTGTTTTATCATTTTTTTACTTTTTATAAGAACTTATTTTTAGTTTTTTTTCCACTTAACTTTATTGCTAGCACACAGAGGCTAACAAGCCCCTGTTTGATAGCCTCTTTGGAGGTGACAGGTTCTCTTTTTGAACATGTCACCTATAATACAGGAGTTCTAGCACAGTACTGTGCTGGCTTACTGTGCTGGCTCTCCTGTGGTAGCTAAAATGGGAAGGCTGCGAGTACAGTTCTCTCATCTCAGTGTTTACATGGAGCAGAGCTCCCCACTCTCCATCTGAACTACTTTGCCATGGTCCCAGGGGCCCCCAGAAGAACCACAACAGGGAGGGAGGAGGCCAGTGGGGAGAGAGGTTGTCTGAGGTGGGGGCAGACCATGTGGCGGGGGAGGACGGATGAGCAGGCATATTAGGCCAGCTGCACACTTGGGCGATCCCAAGACTTTGGGGCGAACCTCAGTGAATTGATTTCAATAGGTTTATACTTGAGCAGCAAACGCTGAAAAAAGGTACATGCACCTTTTTACGTTACACACACCATGCGTTCAGCCGCAATTGTGGAATTGTGGTGCGAAACCGCGTAATCTGCCCGGCACAGCTGGGGTGCCATTAGAAAAGAATAGCACCGCCAGCTTGATCAGCTGTGTGTGCGATTCCGTGACCACACGGTTTTGTGCACGATTGTAGTATGAACCTGGCCTCACAAGTGATCTGGGTGGCATCACTGGGATCACTTGTACTAAACGAGCGGTGGCAAAGCAGGGCTAAATGTAGAGAAAAAACCTACCCTCCCGGCGGCCGGAACTGCATATCCCGGCGTCGAGCAATAGGAATTCCACACCCCTGCCTAGGCTCGCATGCCACCAAAAGGGGCCTCTGCGTGCCCACTAGTCAGAAGTTAATAGTCTTTGAGTGCAGTGATGTTGAATAGCTTCACTGGCCAGAGGCGCTGGAGAGTCTGACACCTGTTGTCACCCTACTATGCAATGCAGCTATATATCACACCAATTGATATGAATGAGAAAAGGATATATTTTTCAAAAAATATAATGATAGCCATTTGTCTGGAGGACCCTTTTATAAACTGCATGCATACTTAGACTCCATATATAAAGCAGCCTCCTGTGTTGAGCTTAGGCCCAGGGGCCGCTGTAAAATGTGCTCAAACTACGAAGCCATAGGTAGATAAAAGTCTACATGACTCATCTTGGGCTGAAGCAGATAACAGCTGTTTGCTTTTAGATGAGGGCCAGCGGGCAATGAATTCAATTTTCCAGCTCTCCTTCCATACTCATAAAGGGGAGATATACTACGTCCTGATGTTTAAAGCTCTACCAAGTATTCAGATGAGGAATGTCGGGACCAGTACAGAGAAATAAACCTTTGAACAAGGACACAGCAGAATGTGAATTTCTGTCATCCCAATTATTTTGGCAACACACCTTCGTTACATTAGTAGGTGAGGTTGACACCAGGTTCAACCTATATGGAGTGTGTATATACCTTAATGCATTAAAAAGCAGACCTGCATTATTTTCAGCAGCACACCACAACGTACACCATGTGCATTGTGCTGTGCTGTACTAAAGATGCACTTCCAGCTTCTGTACATGTGCTTTGGGGTGACATATTAAATAAAAATGTATTACCACAACACGCAGTTGTGAAGCCAGCCTATAGAAAGACAGTGATCTCTGGATGTTGTTTCAAAACAGGGAGCTGGTGTATAAATTAACCCCTTTAAAACAAAACATTTTTTTTTTTTATGCAGATAGCATTTAGAGGAGCTCTCCTTTATCAATCCAAGTTATATTTCATGGTACGGTACAGTTCTGCTGACAACCTTAAAAAAAAAAATACTTCAAATATGTTGGCACTAAAAGGAAGGCATTGTGTCCCTTTTATCACAGGCCTCCGGTCAGCCGTCAGCCTCTCAGCAGAGACAAAGTGTATTTTGTTGTAGCCGCTGCCGAGTCACTGCTACAACTGCCGCCATAATTTATATTATCCGAAGGTTTCATTCATGAGGAATTAAACAGGAAATGCCCCTGCCGTGCTTATCCCAGATGTATAGACCAGATACTATATTTATCTGCAGAGAACCCCCAGCACAAGCTCTGCCGAATAATGTCTCTTTTATGCACATTGGGAAGGCCATGGCGAATTCTAGGTAAAGACTCCTATCGCTTTACACTGCTAAATTAGCAAGTGAAATCTGCAGAATGTGGATTATGGATTGATGCTTTTATCTCAAGGAATTGCTCTGTTTCAAGTTTTAAGAGAGTGGATGCCAAGAATTAATATACTGTCTCTGGTTTCGCCAGTCATTTCTCCCCATGAGCTTCTCTGATAAAAATACCTCTAGCAGACCTATATATAGCTTATTCTTGCCCTCTTTGCAGTGTGTTGTGTTACTGCCTGTGTATAACAGTGCGGTATTTCACTCATTAATTTGTGTTGTGTTAAGACAGCCCATTCATTTTAAATACGCTGCTAATTCACTGTAACAGACAAAAGCCTGAACCTGCAGCATTTTTTTTTAACACACGGTGCCACAATGCATGACATGCGTTGTGGTGAGCTGCAGCTCGGGTCACTTGGCACCTACTGTACCTATCTTTAGGGTGCCATTCTAAATGAGTGGAACAACAACACATACGTTTAAAGATGACTATAATGTCCAGCACTAAAAAAGGATACATGGGTTCTCAGATGAAACTGATGGGCTGAGCAAGGTTGGGGAGCTTCCCAACAGTAATTTGTGTCTCTGCCCCTACCACAATAGTGGGATTTCCCTGCAGTAATTTGTGTCTCTGCCCCTCCCACAATAGTGGGATTTCCCTGCAGTAATTTGTGTCTCTGCCCCTCCCACAATAGTGGGATTTCTCTGCAGTAGTTTGAGTCTCTGCCCCTCCCACAATAGTGATATTTCCCTGCAGTAGTTTGTGTCTCTGCCCCTCCCACAATAGTGATATTTCCCTGCAGTAGTTTGTGTCTCTGCCCCTCCCACAATAGTGAGATTTCCCTGCCGCAATCTGTGCCTCTGCCCCTCCCACAATGGTGATATTTTCCTGCAGTAGTTTGTTTCTCTGCCCCCCCACGATGGTGAGATTTCCCAGCAGTACTTTGTGTCTCTGCCCCTCCCACAATGGTAAGATTTCCCTGCAGTAGTTTGTGTCTCTGCCCCCCAAACCCCACAATGATGAGATTTGCCTGCAGTAGTTTGTGTCTCTGCCCCTCCGATAATTCTGAAATCTCTTCCCAGAGTTTGAATTTCTACTCCTCCCACATTGGTGTGATTTCCACACATTATTTTGTGCCTCCGCCCCTCCCACCAGAATGAGATTGCCCTGCAGTAGTTTGTGTCTTTCCCCCTCACACAAAGGTAACATTTCTTCCCAGTAGTTTGTGTCTAACATGCCTTTTGTAGTAATTTTTCTATTTGTCCCTCCAGCAAGGCTGTAGTGAAGGTTTCACTATCTTACAGTTGGACATTCACGTGTTTGTTCAATCTCATGGAGAATCCATTGGCATAGGAACAATAGAAAAATGTCACCAGCACACCATAAGTTGAAAAAGCAAAATATTTTATTGCCAATAGCTGTATATCATTGGCAAGCACTTTCGGGGCCTCGCAGGGTCCCCTTCATCAGGCTTAGAGAGTATCTCTGTGCAATGGATTTTATGTCAGTTATAACAGAGGAGGGGCAAGTACAGGAACCGAGATAGCTGGATTCTGGGAAATCCTTACTTCAGGCTGTTGAATTTTATTTTTGCAGATGTAAAAAGTTATACCTGGTGTGGTATTGTGTGTCAATCCCACGGTAGAACTGGGGGTCGCAGTCACCCAGGACTCTCAGCCAGAGGGACTGAGCGGTTCCAGGAAACAAATAATTTTTCTGGGAAAGAACTGGCTTTCTCCAGGTTTTCCTCTCCAGGTTTTCTGGATTTGGCATGGGATCCTGGAACAGGAAGATTGGGAGGGATTAAATCTCCATTCCTGGGTCCATCATTTAGTAGTGGCCAGCACCTAGTGATTGCACACCTGTGCACAGCCCTTATGGAAAGGGTGCTGGCTTATGTTCTGGGCTCTAGCTGGGGAGAGGAACAGAGGTGTTCAGGAGTACTCCACCCAGTCGTCAGAG